TCAAATTTTGATCCCACGCTGCATGGGAACTTTTTTTAATTCTCAGTGTGCTTCTTGCGGTGTCTTAAACTGGTTAGAAACCAGAGGAAAAAATAAAAGGCATCCAACCTGATTTTTTTATTAATAATGTCATAGTTAAGCCAATTTCAAGATAGTGGGGGTCTTCTCATAGTTTCTGAACATTAGACAGGAAATACTATAATCTACACACAGTTTCTGCACTAGTTTAACTCAACCAGTTTAAACACAGTCCAGCACATAGCCAGCATGGACTATGTGTCATCATTTCCTTTTCCTGATTCCAGGTCCCTCATGGTTGCAGCCAGCAGTAAGTTTTTGGCAGGGCAGGGCAGGGCAGGGCAGGGCAGGGCAGCTCTATACTTGGCAGAAGGGAAGTTTAACATCCCTCCCTGGCCCCAGACCCCAGCTGGGGTTTGCCCCTGCTTCCCCTCATCCCCCTGCCAATCGTTCTCTGCTAGAGCAAACAGCACAGCACAGCCCAGGGCTGGAAAGCATGCTGGGATGCTTGGGGACTGTGATTTAACTTCAACCAGGAAGGGTTCATAGTTTCATAGTTGGTAGGGTCAGAAGGGACCTGAGCAGATCATGGAGTCCGACCCCCTGTCATGGCAGGAAAGAGTACTGGGGTCAAACCCCCTAGCAAGGTGTTCATCTAACCTCCTCTTAAAGACCCCCAGGGTAGGAGCCACCACCACTTCTCTTGGAAGTTGGTTCCAGATCCTAGCTGCCCTGACAGTGAAGCAGAACCTCCTGATGTCTAGCCTGAATCTACTCTCTGCCAGCTTGTGACCATTGTTTCTTGTCACTCCTGGTAGTGCTCGGGGGAACAGGGACTCCCCCAATGCCTGCTGGTCCCCCCTGACTAGTTTGTAACAGGCCACTAGATCCCCTCTCAGCCTTCTCTTGTGGAGGCTGAACAGGTTCAGGTCCCGTAGCCTCTCCTCATAGGGCCTGTCCTTCTGACCCCTGATCATGCGAGTGGCCCTCCTCTGGACCCTATGTTGTCCACATCCCTCCTGAAGTGTGGCACCCAGAACTGGACGCGGTACTCCAACTGCAGCCTGACCAATGTTGCATAGAGGGCTTGACCCAAATCAGTTAAATCTGATATTATATTTAACCAGGTTTATCTTAAACCAGTTTCAACCATTCTGAAACCGGTTTATGTGCACTGAACTTCTGTTCTGTTACAGCCTTGAAGCAGTTTCTGATTACTTAAATTACTTTATATGTAACTTCTGTCCCTAGCCTAAGTGGGCTGAGACAGGGAAGTGGCTGCAGCATAAACCAATACAATTCTGAGTACAGAATCCCACTTTCTTTAGGGCTCAGAAAAGGCCCTTGGCCTTGCTTTCCTTTTCAAGAACAGGTTAAAGCTGTGGTTGTGAAGGTAGGAGTGGCAGGAGCTCACATGTAGGGGAGCTGGCCCTTTCTCCAGTCTCAGGAAAAGCAGTAAGGCCACTTCATTCCAGGAGGTTCTTCCCAAAAGCAAGCTGTAACCAGCGCTTGGGGGTGAGATGGAGGTTGCTATCCAGCCATGCTACACTGCATGGTACTGGTAAGACACTGCCCATGGCAGGACCCCTGCCTCCCTGCAAAGGCATATCTGTCCTGCAGAAACAGCCTTTCCTCTCCCTGTTTTTTAGGGCTGTCCCTTCATTTTTCTCCCTCCCCACTCCTTATTTAGGGAATACGTCAAAAATGAGCGATTTCCACCAAGCATGTGATTTTAGTATGAAACTTACAGTACGTGAAGTTCTGCACAAAACCCCAGTTCCTAGAAAGAATCTCACTTTGCATTAAAAAAAAATCAAATTTCTAAACCTCATACTTAAATTCCTAAGTTCCATGTAGACACCTGGGATGGAATCTGACCCTTAGCCTCTGTGCCTCATAGCATTGCTCCAGTAATAGATACATTGAAGATTTGGGGTGTCGAGCCTCCATGCTGTCAGGTGCCATAATAGTACTTCCCAGAGCAGTGATGCTCAATGAGGACACCCCTGGGATCAAGTGTTGCATTAATTATAATAAGATTATAATAGTTTCATTACTTATGCATGCTGTTTCCAGTTGGTTTAAAAATATACTTCCAGTTATGTTATTTTCTATATGCTGTAATAAATACATTATTTTTTAAATGGGGTGCTACTAAATTCTGAAAAGTTATGAAGGGGTGCCTCAAGTCTACAAAGCTTGTAAACCACTGTTGTAGGATCGAAGTCCCCACTGGCTACCCTTTCTCAAATGGGCTGCCCCCAACACTCCCAGCCAATGCCTGTTTTACAGAACTACTTTTCTAACTCTAATGGTATTTGTAACAGATATATTAGCATTTAATGCTTTAATATATAGAAAAGACTTCTTAAATGTATTTGTTGCACATTAGCAAGACAAGAAGCTCTCTGGAACCACAGATCAGTCTCTCCATTAATTCTCTGATGCCTCTCTCAGAAACTTTTAAGGCACAATCAGTACAAAGCTAATTGCATTTTAATATACAACAAAGCAGGTTAGCTTTCAATACAATCTCTTCTCCCACCCCCAAATTCATCCACCTACATACAGCATACAAAGCAATCATTAAATGTAAAAGTATGTGCCAACAATTTTTATATATAATATACATATACAAACATATAAAGACATAAAGTAACAGAGTGAGGTTTTAGATATACAAAAAAAAAGTCTTCTCTTCTCTGAACTCTGATCAACAGTATATATGCCTGTATTTCTGACATTGTAGCTGTCTTGGTTGTAACACATAAGTTCTTGTCTTCTTATTTTTAGTCTACAGATAGCTAAGATCTACTCTTTACATAGCATTTGTTTTGGAATAGTTATGCCTGCTAGAGAATTATACCAGTTAAATAGCATCCATACTGGGAGGTGGCAGGTATCATGCTATTTTCACAATACAAGTACAGTTCATGGTACAACTTCTGTAAGCAAGGCCACAGAGTACTAAGGGAGGGAAGGTTTTCCAAAAGCAGAGGGACAAGGACTTGAGGAGACCCATGTAATTGAGTCTGGAAGCAGTCACATCATATAATCCTCTTTAGGAAATGATGAAGTGCCATCTTAAAACCTGGTTAGGTTTGTTGCTCCCACTAGCCTATTGGAAGACTTTTGCAAAATGTCATTCCTCTGACAGTTCATGACCACCTTCTAACTTCCAGTCTAAAGTTATTAATAGCTAGTTTATCCCCAGCTGTCCTTGTGCCAATATTGTCCTTCAGCTTAAATAACTCTTCTCTCTCCCAGACACATACCTCCCTAAAGTATTTATAGAAAGCAGTCGCAGCCCCTGTCAGCTTTCACTTTGCTAGACTGAAGGCTGTTTTCTTCAAAGGAGCAGAGTGCTTTAGGAAACTTCAGGCCAGTCTCACTGATGTCAATGATAGGCAACCACTTGCACCAGGAAATGAATTAGACTTTGGAGACAGTTCTAACAATCCAGTGGAGTATGAATTTGAAAATGATAAACTCAGAGCTGCTTTTTCAAATATGAGCATACATTTGGCACTGCCTTCTGCACTCAAGACAATATCATGGAAGCCCTTTTTCATTATGCTGGTGCATGGCATAGTTATAGCTTTCAGCTTAGTTTGATACTGTGTAGAGTCTTTAATTTGGAATGAAAAAGAAAACAGTTTTTGTCTCCCAAAGCATTTGGAACCAATGGAATTCCTGATGCTATTTCTTCTTATTCTTTTGTTGGGGTAGGGCTTTATTAAGGACTTACAGGGCTACCAGTTGTTGTTGTTTTGGTATCACTGGTTTGCCATCAGTTTGAATGGGAATTGAGAGCCCTTCAAGTCTCAGAAAGACCAAGCTCCAAGACAGTGGAGTAAACATTTTTGGCAGGCATGCCACAAATTAGCCCCACCCTCTGCCAAGTGCCCCTGATCCTCTTCCTTTGCCCAATCTGCTGCTCTGCTTCCTGCCTGCCTGCTGCTGTGCTGCCTGTCCCCTTCCCCAATTTGCCACATGCCACACAGGGGCTGCCTGTGCCATTTGTGGCATTCGTGCTGCAGGTTGGTCACTGCTGCTCTATGGTATTTACTGAAGTGAAAGTCATTCTAACATGAAAGACACTGAGGGTGCCTGTAGACATGCTGCAGGCCTGCTCTGATGCACTGTAATTACAGCGTGTTGGAGCAGACTCTATTAATATCATGCATTAGCATCCCTGCACTTCAAAATGCTGGCAGATGCACTTGAACTAAAGCTCACTGAATGAGCTTTAGTTCAAGCACCCCCACCACTATTTTGAAACACAGGGATGAGATGCTGCAGCACTTTAATTAGAGCGGCTCTCACTTAAATGATAGCAAATGGACTATTATAGCCCCACCTTGTGAATTCAAAGGACTTGATTCAGCAAAGGGTCTACTGTGTTTTGCTCAACAAGGATAGAATTAAGCACATGCTTAATATTAAACACATTCTTAACTGTGTGCTTAACTTCTTACAGAGGTCCAAGGAGATGGATGTAAAGCACATGCTTTATTTAAGCATGTGCAAAAATTATTTGCTGAATTGGGGCCAGTAAAAGAACAGATGCAGCCTGGGACTTAACAACCCCTCAAACTTCACTGAGAGATGGAACAGTAGAAGAGGCATTGATGTCTTCTGCTTGAGGTTGTGAGAACCCATTAATTTGAAATAGTAGACAATAAATGGCATGACAAAAATTAACCAAACTGTTAAACCTGGCAAAATTCTTGCTTTGAAGGTTCTGTATATCACAATTAGAAAATGGCTTGGGTAGAAAAACAAATCAACTTTGGCAGATCAGTGGAAGTGTTTTCAGGAGGAGTACATAATTCCTAACCATGTAAGAGATCAGAAAGACAAAATTCAATCCCTGATTTCATGCTGTGCTTCATGAACCGTCTGAGTCATTGGGTTGAGTGCAAAATCCCAGCGGACAAGGTACACAAATAAAGTAAAGCATCCCACTTGCTTGGTTTTTCCCCCCCCCTCAGAGTGCCCATGTAAGGGCTAAGGCCACATAACCAAATATCCTATAGGCAATTAGGGATAGACAACTATCAAGTGCAGAAACATATACAAAGGTCTTTTGCCATGTAGTGGCACATTGCTACACTGATCATTCTATATGACACAATAACATTACAAATTCTATATGTATACTGAATCAATAGGTTGGGCTTTGAAGCTGCTACTTACAGCAATATCTCTAAGGACACAGCTACACTGCTGCTTCTATGGCAAGCTGAGAAGTGGTACTGAGAAGGACATCACACTCATTTGCTCCTGGTCAGCAATCATCAAAGGCTGGAAATTTGGGATATAGGTGGCTTAGAATGGGCCTGAGCAAATGCCAAAAAGTATGTGCAAAATGGAGAACCTGGGCATGTGATCAAGGACTTGCTAAACCTGCTACACTATCTAATTCTTATGTTTTGGCATGTGCTAAGCCAGAGCGAGCAACCAAATAGAGACAGTTCTAGACTCACCACTTTGGTAGTGCAAACATGCCCTAAGTCAACCATTATTTTGATCAGATTTAAGAATCTGGCACCAGCCCACCACTGTAACAAATTAGATATGATGATACACAATAGGAAATAGATGTCAGGCTAAATCCTCCCAGTTATTCTTCTGCTGGATTCTCCTATTTGAAGAGGAAGACTTTCATCCTGTGTTTTTTACATGTACATTGGACCAAATTTTGTGCTAAGCTATGCCTTGTGCATCTGCACAGAAGTCACTGCAATTGCACAGAATACGTCAGCCAGTTACTGCAGTGGTTCCCAAACTGTGGTACATGAGGCCATGGTATATAATTCCCAGATCGCACCAGCCTGTTCCTTCTCCCTTTCCCCTGATGAGTTTGATGTTAAGGGTGCATCGCAATTCATGAGAAGTTTTATTGGTTGACAAAGGTCTGTTGGTTCAGAATGTCTGACAGCCATTGACCCATTCTACTGCTAGACACCTGTGGCTTTTGATAGAAAAGCAAAAAAATACAAAAGACAAGTTGCCATATGCCTTGGCCCTTCTTACTTGTAGGGTTACTGCTTTATGCCCAATATATAAGTTAAATAAGTCAGTATGATACAGGTAGGTACCATCTCTCTTAGAAGTGTTGGGTTGATATCAGTCCTTTTGTCATTTGTGATCACTAACTTGAGTGGTAAACTTCAGAGGCACAGACTGGACTCAAAGTGCCTGCACTCCATATCCAGGTGGTACCAAACATGTCTTCCAAATGGACCAGAGGTAAAGCACAAATAATTCTTACCTTGCTGTTCATACCATACCCTTGCCTCATTACATTAGAACTCTGTACATCAGAGTTCAAGCATAAGACCACACAGCTGCCCAAGTTAATTCCTATCGCACCAGCTCAGGTATTTTTCTGACATGCCTCCACTGTTTTCATAATTGCCTGTCCTGGAAAACTTACTACAACTCCAAAGACTTGTTCCAGCATTGTCAGTTGGTTGCATTAGTACTTAATCCGAGTACTGGTTCTTAATTCTCACTGGTTTTATTCAGAAGGGTGAGCAGAGGGCAGCATTAGAGAGACTTAGACTCTTTTGCACAAAATGCATAAGTGTAATTAACATTCAAGTGCATCTCTTTGGCATCCACAGAAGAGAGTCTTAGAAATATGTATTTGTTCACACAGAAAGCACAACACCAATAGAAATAATTATAAAAAATACTGAAATATTTACATGAAAGTTAATGTCTTGCAAATGGCAAGGACAACATTTTTAAGGCCACATCTGTCCGAAGTCATCTTTCTCTATTGCTTCATCCTCTCTCAGTGTTTTGGGAAAAACATGCTGTCCTTTGCAACTGCAGGGGTGAATTCCATGGGAGGACTCTCTTCATTCTGGTGACACTGGTGAGCAGAAAAAAGGGAAATAAGTTCAAGTCATAGGCAAGGAAAAAAAGTAAAATTAACCCCCATCAGCATCTCAGCAGAATGGAGGAAGGTAAGTTTAAACTGTATTTGAGGAGTTATGGCCTCAAGCTACAGATGTAAAAGAAGATATTTACTATGTAGATCTCAGGCTTTGACTGGATATACGTGATGAGAATACCGTTTGTATCAGATATATAATCTGACACTTCATGCGTTTCTGTTTGGATTTAGACCTGATTTCCAAGCTTTTTTGTTAAGTACCCTAAAACTCTATGTTTCAGTTTCAGAAGCTACAGTAATGGTATAGATAATTTCTCTTCTATAATAGAACTGGGGAAAATAGCCCTTGAAGAAAATGAAAGCTAAGCTGCTGATTGTAGAGAGGTGTTTGGTTTGATAGGGACAGTTTGCATATCTTTTGTCAAGAGAAATTGGGCTTTTGTAACTTGTAAGATTATTTGAAGAAAAGTAGTAGATTAAGAAGATATGTGAGTATGAGTTATCTTCTTAGCTGCAAAAGGCTCTAAGAGGAGACAGGTGGTTTCATATTTATCCTAGATGTGATTGCCAGGTAAAATCAGACTGGCATATAAACTCATTCTCCCCCATTCAAGCCAAGACTGCAAACCTGTCACCTTCCAGCAACAGTCCAGACAAACCCCAAAAGGCTCTGCTAAATTTCTGGGTGAACTTGCTCCACTGCTACCTGCAACGGGTTTGGAACTTACCTGGAAGTGTAGGCCTTGAGCACAGGAAGTCTGCCAACAGAAATCCCACAATCTCTTGTTCCAGACTTCCAGGCTCCTTGTGCCACGCATCCTCTGTCTATATTAAGAAAAGCCTAGATGGGGCTGTCTGTTATGCATCTACAGACAGGTCCCTAGAAGGGCGCCAGCAGGGAGCTTGACAGCCGTGCTCAAGAAAGAAGTGGCATAATACGGATCCCTTTGGAGCAGATTACAAGATACAATACAGAAGATTCATGGGAGCCTGGGATGCCTCAAGTCTGGCTCTACAGGTCAATGTAGACTAGTGGTTCTCAACCTTTTTAGACTCAAGACACCTCTCCAAATCTTTTCAAAATGTAGGAGCACCTCATTTAAAAATAACTTAAATATATCATGCATATATATATCATGCTCATTGGACAAACAGGTAAGAGATGGGGACAAGGAGAACGCTTCGACTACGGGGTCAGTAACCACATCTACAGGAGGCCTGAAATGC